TTCATAATGATTATTGAACTGTGATTTGGTTGGCACACACAGTCTGAACTCAGACGTGTGAGCGAAAATAAAATAAAGAACATATATGTATATATAATGGCCTCGTGGCCTCGTAGCTCAGCTGGTAATGTTCTGTACAAAAGTGTAGGCGGCGTCCATGCGTGGGTTTGAATCCTATCGAGGTTACTGAACTCTTCACAATCTTGACATAATTACATATCTTTGTTACCCTCAGCCAGTTTTAGTTATGCTGTCGCGAAATTCATCGAGATGTAGCTGCTGATGCATTGCACACTCGAATTTACTTTTGAATAAACAAAACATTGCGTTTGTGGTTCGTGTGTATCTGTAATGCGTTATATGGATTGGCAGACTGCACTCAATACCGAAATCAAACAAGACTCTCAACCCCGGCCCCTACACTAGTACCGTTCAACCGGACTATAAGATAATCAAGTCAAGTCAAATATTCACCTTATACACTCCGAAAGGTGTATATTCAGCAACCACATAGCCAACCAACAATTATCGAACAAAATTATAGCAGAATTGTGGTAAGCAAAGAGAAAACAAAACAATTTACGATATGAGCTAGTTCAGTTCCGAAGCAATGCTTTCTGCGCTGACAAGAAATCGGGCAAATTAGGGCACCACAGAAGACTGATAGGCGGTCGTACGAGCAAATATACAATTATAGCGGGACCGGGTGGAGGAGGAGGACACATTTAACAAGATTTTGTTGTAACAGATGTGAAGGGTTGTCAATGATTTTTGTTGATAACGAAAAGCATGACTTTGTATGCGGTGAAATGATGAAGTGACAGAGGGTTTCACGGGAAATCCTGCTACTTCTGGATAAATGTGTTAAGGATCTGGAAAGCAATTTAAAGTCCTTCTTGAGCATCCCGGGGGACCAGTACAACCATAGGGGTAAAACACAAGCAAAAAGAAAACGGGTACTCAAGAAGCGAGAGACGGGTGGTGTTTTCAGACGTAAGACATAAAATGATAATTTCCTGAACTCTCCAAACACAGGAATAACTTGGTCAGACCAGCATAAATTTCGGTTTTTTAACAACCAAGATACCTGACATTTAACGGTTGGATAATAGTATCACCGCATGAACAAAGTTCACCACCGTAGTAGAATATCTAATTAGACCGCTTGCCCCGAACATTCAAATAAAATCAAGTCAACTCGGTAATTGGACCGCCAGATCAGTGTGAATGTGTGTTCACAGGTGGAATTGAGTAATAAACATTGTTTGTGGTATGTTTAGTCAGAGTTTGTCCGATCCATAAAGCAAGTAGAACGAAGTTCTGATAAGACGAAATCACGTGGTTACACGGTTGCTTTATCTAGGTCAAATTAACTGTCGACCTATCTAATTGACAGCCGTGAGAGAAAGTCACTTCCGTTTCACACATTCACATACCTATAGACTGGCGCGAGTCATCTGATTGAGGAAAAATTGGCACAGCGTCGAGTCGTGGTGGAGCTATCGAACTTGATCGACTACCTGTATATCGTGCAGACGGATACGTCAATCGGTGTGAATCAGGAAGCGGCTGATTCGAATACGGCGCGACCAAAAGTGGAGTGAATAGCGACGAAAAATGAATAGGACAGGGGACAGACTTGACAACAATGATGGGATTTTAATCACTTGTAACTTTAATGACCGAACACTCGGGCAGCATTCTGACATGAAACTCTATTCATACGCAAAACAAAAGGATCATATTTTGTTAATCCTAGCGGTTGGTGATTGGAATCGTTCGTTGTTAGGCGTACGATCGGCTCTGCAGATAATCGGTGCCTTTTCTAAACTTGAAATTCGCTAGGAACCTGAGGAAATTAGCATGTCTTAGCCACGACGAATGAAAAGCTTTTCGGCTTGAAAAAGGCCTTCCAAGAGGATCAAAACGTCGTCACCAACGCCCTAGTGTTTTGATTTTCATTTATCGTGGCTAAGACAAGCTAATTTCCTCAATAATCATGAGCACGACGCCCAAGTTTTTCAGTGAAATCCGTTCCATCCATGGATCTTGTGTGATTACCGCCAGGGACCTGCTTCATTTAGGCGTCTAAGACAGCAATTCTGAGTACGTTTATAGCGGCCAACGTCTCGAACAAACACATACACGCGGTGTAAATCGGGATAAGTCGAATGAACTACGTTACATGGAGAACGTGCATCATACTGCACCGACCGATACACACACCGCTTGTGATCAGTTTTGTTTTACCGCTAGACTGCGTTCTACAGTATCCTAAAGGGAATCTCGCCCAGTCACACTCAAGCATGTAACTGGCAACTTATGAGTGCCTAAACATGTGCAGATAGCCTACTTCTATGGTTTCCACCAGTGACCGGGTGATTACTGTTCCATGCACTTCAGGACAGAACAGCATGCCAATCAACAGAGAGTAACAAGTTGTCCGATAAGATTCACTTCACTCGAGTGTTGGGGGATTGACAATGAGCGGGTTCGTTACAAAACGCAGACTTGTTTTGACAATGACATTGGACTGTGTGCGGTCCGGTTAAAACGCTTATATTCATAACTCGCTACTACTTAAGATTTGTGGAGGGCCCGCATCTTTGATACCTTAAACTGGCACAACCCGAGTTGTTGTGCCCATCACTTTGGGAATGATTCCATCAAGTCCTGATGAAGGATAACACAAGAGCAACTGAACGCGGTCGTCTGATGCTAGATTTTTGCCGACAGCCACCTTGTGACTACTTTTCTCTATTCACTCAAGTGGAGTGTGACAGACTTCATCTTCGCGCAGTTACCATTTCAACCCGATAGGCACTGGTTTCGAGTTTTGCTCATGTTGGAGCTCACCACACTATAGCAGACTGACTGGGGTTGCAGGTCTGTATTCCGCGCAAGGTGGGCGCGTTAACACTGTGTTAACTTGTCGACGCGACAGAGGGTGACCGGATTTTTAATTCACATACTCCTTTAGAGGTAGTCATTCACACGGCAGTCAGTATCATTTACGAACCCTGATGGGCAGGATTTCACCCAATCATTTTTTTCTTATCCCAATCCACGTCCTGGCAATAAATGAGTTGAAAATGTGAATTGAATTCAATCTGTCAGTTAACTTATGTGTAAGTAGCTAAACCGTCAAGGAAAATTCGACCTAGAGTCAACAGATGACCTACCGATTGTATACGTTGCTGTCTGTTCAACGATTGACTGACCAGGAGNCCTACAGGATTTCGTGAGGTAGCAACTCTTGAACCATACAACGAGGTATCTTCGTGAGAACAAGGCAGCTTCACGGAGGAACCCCTGGAAACATGTCCGTTTCGTACAAGATAACTTCCTTTATGTAACAGCTCATGATGATTCCTGTTACAGTCCAGAACCTATTTAAGATGGATATTTAATGTCTTCTCTTGAAGAATGCTCAACAAAGACTTGGATGATCAGGGGCTATTTGTAGTGCAGCAGTGATAAATTTCGTTATTGGCGGGCTAGATTCGCGATAGCTCCGGTGGACGTATGTGGCTATTTCTGCAGAGAGACAGATCACTTACGAGGCAAAAACTCTTCCTGTCTTCGGTCAACATCCCCGATGATTCTCAATCATTTATTTGGTGAAGCTATGTCCACATACGCACACTGACGGTTAACTACGTAAGTGGTCTGGACACAGGCCGGATTATATCTA